TCTCTCTCTCTCTCTCTCTCTCTTTCTTTCTTTCTTTTTTGGTTTTTCGAGACAGGGTTTCTCTGTGTAGCTTTGCACCTTTCCTGGAACTCGCTTTGTAGACCAGGCTGGCCTTGAACTCACAGAGATCCACTTGCCTCTGCCTCCCGAGTGCTGGGATCAAAGGCGTGCGCCACCACCGCCCGGCTCTCAGCCTGCTTTCTTGTGGAACCCAGGACCAACAGCCCAGGGATGGTACCACCCACCATGGACTGGACTCTTCCCTCAGTGATCACTAAATGAGAAAATGCCTTCCAGCTGGATCTCATGGAGGCCTTTCCTCAACTGAGGCTCCTTTCTTTCTGATGACTCTAGCTTGTGTCAAGTGGACACACAAAACCAGCCAGGACACATCCTGTGCTCCCCGTGCAGGTATTCTCACTCATAAAGTATACTCGCAAACTGCTGTATCACCATCCAGTGTCCGTAGAATCTGCAGAAACAGGCCTTCAAAGGATGGCCTAATGAAAGGTCTGTTTTTGTCACAGAGCCTTTTGTGGCCTCCTGGCAGGACCGCCAACATCAAGAGCTCCCTAAGCTGGACGCAGTCTTTTGACTGTGTGTGTTTCTTCTGTACATGAAGTCCACTTTGCTTCGTGGTGATGAGTTGGACTTTTGGGGAGGGGTACATCCTCTGGGAAGCAGACTGTGGAGGAGGTTACAGTGGTCTTGGTTCATCCCAGCATTGGGGACCCTGCGGTGTGCTACATCCAAGGAGAGTTTTGTCCTTCATACCTTTCAGAGGGTGATGATAATACCCTTAGCAAGCATTTATTGAACGTCTAATGGGTGCCAGACTTTTGGACACAGAGGTGCACAGAAGGACATTGCTTCAGGGAGTCCTAACCCCAGAAAGATGCCTGCTCTGGGGTGTAGAGATGTTACCTGTGAATTCTCTTCTGCTAGGCTGTGACTCTGGCATGGTATCATTGTATGTGGAGTCCCAGGGACCCTGGTCTGAGCTTGGCACCCAGGTTGCCACATGGACAGATGTTTGGAGCTCCTGGGAACCACTGTGCCCCCACCCTCCAGTTCCTACCTCTGGCTGCTTGGCTTGCACCCCAGGGGAGCCCCCTTCTGGGGCTCAGATGGCTGGGCTTTGGCATCTGGAGGTGCTAAGTCCCAGGCTCCTCTGCCTTGCTTCTGACAAGAGGAAGTACAATGCTCAGCAGAGGGGAACTCCTTCAGACAGGGTAGTGTCTTGTGAAGTGGAGACCAGACTGGCCTGTTAGCCATTTGCTAGTTCTGAAACCTAGGATGAGTTATTTTACCCCAGGGTTTTGGTTTCTTCCTCTGTAAAATGGGAGCATATAAGATGCTCTCCCTGGGCTCCTGGGAGGACTAAGGAGGTCCTGTGTAAGAGGTCCTTAGTGGTACCCGCCTGGCGTAGTTATCTGTATGGTCCGTGCTTTCCCAATAGCAGTCATTCCAATTATCCCAGGAGCTCTTACCATGTCTGGCCCTCAGTGGGCTAGAGTTTGTTGAGAAGACTGTTTGGACTTAGGTTTGTTAGCATTTGCTAACTAGGTATTAAGTATTAAGATTGGGACAGAGTTTGTTCTGGCCACCAATAAATGAAGCGGGCATGGTGTGCAGGGGAAAACCATCATATTTTCTTAGCTCCCCCCGGCTCTGAGGTTTTATGATCTTCTGCACAGCTCCTCAAGGTTTTTCTTCTATGTAAACACGCTGACAGGAGTGGTATTTAACAAGGGTGGTTTCCCTCTGGTTGTCACCACAGACTTGGGTCTGGGATCTGAGGCTCTTTCGTTGCCTGGTTGCTGGCATGAAGGTATCAGGGATTTTTTTTTCTTTCCTCCCCAGCTGTGGTTATGACTGAGGAGTGGTTAGTCGGGCACTCCAGTCCCCCCTAGTTTGCTAGGCTGTGGTTTATGGGCAGGCTCCCTGCTGAGGACACTGGAATGGCCGGGCTGGCTGCCTTGCCCAGAGTCAGGACTGGAGGCAGCCACACACTCCCTCCTCCCCGCTCCATCCCATGTCCATGTGCCTACTCCTAGAGGCAGCAGCCCTGGCTTCTCGGCTGGGTGCTCTAATGGTGACTGCTCCCGACTCCCCTCAGGGACTTAGGACTTTCCCTCCTCTGCCTGCTCCATGTGTGACTGCAGCCTAGGAAGGGGTTGACCAGGTCAGGTCAAGCAGGTAGCAGCAGCCTGAGTCTTTGGTGGAAAGAAAGTAGGAAGTAGAGAAAACAGACCTGCAAACCAGAGCTGTGGTCTCTCTTTCTGAATCTGCTGCTCACATGCAATGTGCTTTGTCTGAGACGGTCTCATTGTGTAGTCCTGGATGTGGTCCTAGGAGGCCCGGAACTTGGAGATTCCCTTGCCTCTGCCTCCCAAATCCTGGGATTAAATTAAAGGCCTGTGCCAACACTCCCATCCCCCACTGCCTCCAACACTCCTTCCC